CACTAAAAATAATAAATATTGCCATGTTTATTCAAAGTGTGCCTTGTTATCCTCAGGCCAAAAGTTCACATAAACACTATTGTAAATGACAAAATATTAGAACTTTTTGTTACTTGTGTTATGATCCTTCCGCTGAACACCAATAGGACTGTTTTCCCTTGTATAAGTCCCTGCCCTGATATTGTAAAACGTTGCCTGTGACTAGAATTCTGGATTCATTTGCAGGTCAAAAGGAGGGTAATTATCTTTCAAAATCAAAAACAAATATGAATTGAGTACTATATCCTACTAATAATAAGTGCTAAGTGCTGGAGCTAAGAAAAATAAAATTAATAAATAATATACCTGCCCTAAAAGAGCTTACACTCTATTGAGGAAAAAGATCACCTTAGAATTTGAAGATATAATACAGTGAGCACTGATACTAATATGCATTGGGTCCTATACCAACATGAAGCAGAAGGGAATCCACTAAGCTCAACCTGAAACATCGAGAAAATCTGCTCAAGAACTCAAGTATAAATAAAAATTAGTGAAATAAAAAGAAATGGGGGTAGTAATTCAAGTAGGACTATCATGAACAAAGGATGAGAGGCATAAAATAGTAGAGTATACTAAAAGAACCACAGCATTTCTATATATTAAAGCAAGGTGGCAGGCAGCAGAATACACGGAAGGTTTTTCTGTTTCTATATACAATATTTTTTTCTACAGTTCACTATTTTACTCTAAAGATCACCAACTAGAAAATTTTAAGCAGATAACATTTATGTTAAATTTGCCTACTAAATTATTAGGACTAAAGCAAAAACTGAGTGAAAGATTCAAGGCATAAATAGATCAATTAAGGGAGACTTTAATAATTTAGATGGAAATCTCAACTAGGAAAATAGTTTTAGGATAGGAGAAGAAGGGATGGAATTAAACTATATTTAGGAGGTAACATTTGCAAGATTTGGAGGTCTAAATATGATATTAAGAAAAAACAAGAATTTAGGTTTCTGGCTGGTGACTAGATGCTGATATTACCTGAGACCACTGCAAATGTAAGAGAAGCAGACTGCACAGGAGTGGGGGTGAAGACAGTGAGAACTTTTTGAAACATACAGACACACTAAGTTTTTGCTCTCTGGAATCTAAAAGGTTAGATTTAATAGATGGTTGGTTTGTTTGTTTGTTTGTTTGCCTGTCGGTAGCAGAAGGGATGTTGGGGATTAAACCAAGGGCCTTGTGCGTGCTAAGACCACATCCTACCTAGCACAGTACACTCCCGGCTCCAGATGACCACATCATACAAGTCTGAAACTCAAAGGAAAGTTGAAAAATGAAATATAGGTTTGCAAGTTAGCACTTCAAGCCATAAGAATGATTATATCTTTTAAAAAGGCAAAAACCAAGAAAACTGGGACAAGAGTAGAATTCTGGGAACACTGTGATACAGAGAAGAAGCAGTGCTCACAAAGACCAAATCAGGCAAAGGGTAAACATACTGTAGAAGACCACAGACAAGTTCAAGAGTTGAAAGGTAAAAATGATCAACAAAGTAAAAGGCAGGAGGTCTGCCTGATAAGGTACAGATTCAGGGCAAGATAAGTGGTTAGTGAACTGATGAGAAAATGAAGTGTAAAAATAGAGACAAGTACTGGAATAGAAAGGAATGAGAGAGAGATGGTTTATTTTCTTCTTGGTCCTTGTTTCTCTACTCTCAAACCCTTTTTATTTTTTTATTTTTTCTTTTATTTCCTTTGTAGACTAAGAATTAAACCCAGGTCCACTTTACTGAGCTACATCCCCATCCCACTTATTTTTTATTTTGAGACAAGGTCTTCCTGAGTTACTAAATTACCTCGACTGGACTTGAACTTCTGGTTCTTCTGCCTCAGCCTCCCAGAAGGCTGAGATTACAAATTTGCGCCACCATGCCTAGCTCAAATCCTCTTTTCTTAGAAAATCTACTTCCTAGTTTTATTATTAACTGTATTAGGAAATAAGAAAAACTTAATATTAAGTAATCTATTTTCAATGTCTTTTTTGTTAGTATTATGAGGAGCTACCCTTTTACCACACAATAATGCAAATTAGTGACTTGGGAATGGAGAAATAAGTAAAAAAAACTTTAAACATTATACTCCTCAAAATGCTATGAAGTCAGAACTGATATTTATACATGCTGTGGCTCTTGATTTAGCAAAATAAGTGAGTTTTTAATCAAAATTCCTATAAGTCTGAAACAGAATGTCTAAAACATACATATACACTGTATCCCCCCCAAATAGAACTGAGTCCCTACTATTAACCATACTTTTTAAAAGCTAGGAAACACTGTGAATGGGGGAAGAGACCTGTTTCTGCCACATAAACAATGCCTTACAAATTATTACAGAAAATTTATGAATATCAAATATTTCAATATTACAGAACACTAATATATAGAATTTTTTAATGGAAAGTTTAAGGTCCTCCTCTTTTTCTATAGCTTTATGATTTCTAAAGAATTACCCATATACTGTAGCTTTTATGATATTTGAGAAATATATATATGTAATATATATAGTCATTGGACAATTAAGAATGTGAAGTTTCTCAAGTGTACATTGAAGATAGAGACTAGAACTCCTATGTATATGTCTCTACTTCATGCTATATAATTTTTAAAATACCAATACTGTGTCTAACCATCAGCGATAACATAACTCTCAGCAGACAGCAAGCGTTTATTAAATAACAATTATTTGCCAAGACTGACTTAGGTATTATTCATTCAATATCTATAACTATACTAAGTAGGTCATTATTATACTACATAGGAGAAAGGTATATTATTATTAATAATATCATATATTATTTCATAGATGAGAAAGCTAGGCCAGCCTAATACCATATAGCTAGTAAATATGCAATTAAATTACTTCAACACTCTTAGGACTCACTATCAGAATTCTCACTAGAGACAAATTTGTTGTTGTTGTTATTGTTGCTGCAGCTTTTTTTTTTGTACCAAGAATCGAACTGAGGACCTAGCATTTGCCAGGCAGGTGCTTGTGCCACTGAGCTATATCCCCGGCCCTTGTTGTGTTTTTATATCATAAAATATAAATCAAGGTTATAAATTAGTACACACATACCGATGAGATATAGGGCTGTCACAGTCCTTCAAAGAATACAACCTCGCCTGGTACACTGAAATCATTTTAAAGCATAAATCCTTAACTTAGTCATATATCTTTGTCTCTCAAAATGCATTTCATGCAAAAAAGAAATTGAGTGCTTATTAAAAATGTAAATTAATAGTAAGATTTGAGTCAACAAAATATGAGTGGTAAAATATGAAAGTATACAGAGAATACTCTATAACTATGTTAACAGAGAGGAACTTTTAATCATAACTCAAGAAATACAAACTTTAAGATTAATGAAACTGATTCCTATAAATTATGATCCAACAATTCCATTCTTTGATATAGAAAACATATAAACTCACAGAAGTCCATAAGGGAGTACTATTTTTTGTTAAATACAATTTAATAAAACATAGTAAATACAATCCATTAATTATCACACTTCAGTGAGGGGAAATGAGCCAGGCACACAAACTACAGTAAGAATAGATATTTAAAGTAGAGTTATCTGGAAGTGGTAGCATATACCTATAATCCAAGCACTCTGGGAGGATAAGGCAGGAAGACCAAAAATTTGAACCTAGCCTGGGCAACTTAGCAAGACCCTATCTCAAAATAAAAAAATAAAAGAACTGGGGAGGTAGCACAATATAGTAAATGCTGAACAAGAAATACAAGAAATACAACCAGATCCACAGTAAACATTTGAATAATTAAAAAGACATACACAAAATCATACAATTTTCCAAGCTAGATACACACCCATGACATATATGCAACATATTAGAGTTAGCATACTTAGAGAAGACAGGTGAACTTAAAGCTAAGAAATTAATGATAAAATCCTTATAAGATGTAAGAGAGAGTACTGTATAAAATGATAATAGTGTGTCACAACTTAACATATAATGATTTATCTAACTCTAAATGAGACTGAAAATAATTGCGTACTTATTTTAAACACCTTTTATAATTCAGTCTTCACCTGGTTTCATCTTCATACAAACAGTGATAGATGGAGAAAGAAACACGGAGAAAGAGGAGAAAAATAAAACGAGCAAGAGACAAAGAGATAAGAAGAAACAACATAAAAGGGAAGAAAGAAGAAGCAAATAGGTCTTTCTTCAAATAATGGAGACTACCACAACATTCTTTAGGCAATTAAAACCCTATAGATGGTGTCCCAGAATTCTACAGTAAAGACTAAATGACATTATGTTAAATATATGGAGAAGGAAACCAAATTCAGCAAGAGGACACACTTGAATATATTTTTTTAAAAAAACCTAATATAAATTTCACTGAACTTTGCTACGAACAATATCAAGAATGGGCTTCTCTCACTAATTTGCTCTGTTGATGCTGTAGTTTAATTTTTTTCAATTCACTTTGTGTTTATCTGTGTGTTCCATGTAGATGCATTATCAAGATGAAGAACGGGACATTTCTTAGAATGTTATTAACACCTTTAACAGTCCCCCCCTCAGATAATTTTTCCATGGGCTTTATAAAAAAAAGGAATACTTGTTACCAAAAATGAAACTGCAAAAACTTTTCAAAAACATGTAAAGTCAGGCTATTATAATTTAAATAATTACATTATTAAATTTAAAATTGTTATAAAATTTAAAACAGATCTGTATGTATATGTAACTATTTCTAGTAATAACTAATCAGTGGTTGACTAATAGAAATGTACTAACCATAGCATATTATATGGCAAACATGAACAAAAGATTCAAGAAGCAAGAACAGAATGTAATCAAATTTCTTAACACTAATTTCTCATTTCTTATACTTAGTAATACAGAAACTACCAAAAATGAGAATGAGTTTTGAATTCACCACCTATTTATTAGGCAGAACCAAATAAAGACTCACCAGGACAGAATATATGTGCAGACATCGATAAACAGGAGAGAAATCCACCAAATCTTGGGCCCCAGGTACCTGCAAACACAAAATTATCACAAAAAAATTTAAATAGACATATGAAAAACAACTTTCATTTTACTGTAAATGTGTTTTTCTTTAAGACTAGGTCTAGCTTCTAAGTGGGAAATACAAAACAAACAAAAAGCCACCATGCACCCCAAAACCTAGTTCTGTTATTGTACTCATGTGAGTGATAAGCTGTGAAGATATATTCCATGGCTGGGACAAGCTCACATCAAGAGAGAGAAGATATACAAATGCACTGGTTCTGCATCTGCCTGTGGAGATACATCTTAGGCCATGGACAATTAAAGGGAAAATACAAAGAATATTTTTTTTCTTATAACATACATGTTAGATTACACAAAATACTAAGTTTCAGTGGCCAAAAACAAAACTTCCCATGCAAGATGAATTAAGTAATCTGCCAGTCAACTTCTGAAGAGCAAAAGAATTGGAGAATACTTAAGTGATCACACAATTGAAATACAAAAATACACTGGAAAGGAGGGAGATTTCATGTAAAAGCTAAAATAATGAATGGAAAAGCCAAACCTAGAATTAACACCAGAGACTGTAATGTAAATAATGGATGCTGATTAAACTGAGACATAAAGGGAAATAAAAGAAAAATCACACGAGGTAGAGAACTGGAATCAAGCTGTGGCACAAACTAATTTCTTATGTAACCTAACGTTGACTAAGTCACAATTTACTTTGGCTTAAATTTCCTCAACTGAAAAAGGAAATTAATAGTTGAAGTTCAGGGAGTCAACAAAAACAAAAGGTGACACTGAGAATAAATGTTGAACAAAACAATATGAAACAAAAAAGGAAAAGAGAAAAAGGAAATACACATAAAGAAATAAATAAAATAAAGACCTACTAGAAGTTTTTACTGTAATACTGGTAGCTATATGGTTTATCAGAATATAAGCAGGAGGCACATCTAAACTGAGTTAAGCTGATTCATGATTTCAAGGTCAGTCTGTTTCCTTATTTATGAAGTAAGCCTCCTGATCTCTTTGGGACATACCTTCTCTAATCAAGATGCTTTTCTTAATGAAATCTACTTATTCAACCACACAACACTTACTTCCTTTTCCCTCAGAAAACCATTACAGCTCAATAAGTATTGCTTCAAATTTAGTGACTGTTCATCTGCTTCACACCCATGAAGGCAAAGATTACATTTCTATACTTAAGTACTTTATCATGCTATATACTCTGTAAGTGAGCAAAACAAACCTTTATGTGAATCTAAAGATTGCCAAAAATCTCATACGATGGCCCAAGAACAACTGTACTTAAAAGGAGTCAATAAGTGATCATGTAGGCAATCATATTTGAAATGACCATAACACTAAATCTACTTCTTTGATTGCAAAGTGGAAATTTGAAGGAAATTTATCTTGCCAAAAAAACCACAGCCTATTTTATCTTGCCAAAAAAAACAGGAAATTTCTTTTAACTTGCCAGAAAACCAGAGGCTACAGTGAAGCAAAACACAGTCTCCAAAGAAAAACAACAGAAACACATTTAAAAATTATACTCCAGATAGTATTTAAACAACATGTAACTATATATGCACACGAAAAAAAAGATAAGGAAACAAGTGATATTTTAAAAGTTTGATCTATTTGGAAAGAAAGATTTTTTTATTTAGAATTAGCTTTTATAAAGTTACTTATTATAAGCATATATTTATACAAAGTCAGAGAAATTTTTTTGCACAATTTTGATTAGCAAATTCATTTATAATTTTGTGTTACATGTTTTTCTCCAGGTTCTACTTTGTCTCACAGCCATGGTTTTGCTCAAAAGGAAAATTGCTTATAGCCATTCCTGACAGCCTTGGCCCTTTCTCATTGCAGACCCATCCTTATAGAATGAACACTCATACTATGGCACAGTTCCCTAGAAACCTGTGACAAATAAGCTAACAAGCCCCTTAACAAACAAAGATGTTTGGTTAATAATGGGCTGGGACTGGTTTATCCATGAAAACTTTAAAAAGGGAAAGATATATGTAGATGGGTAACAAAGGTCTTTTCACCAACAAATATTTACAATCCAACTTATTTTTGGTGAGACTGTTTGACATTATTGTATCAGCTTCAAACTGTTTAAAGTGCTTTGACTGTAAGTGTTGGTTGTACTATTTCTTATCCTCTGAAACCATCATGTAGTTAGTTCTCCAAGTACATGACGGCCTGATTTAAAAGCAGCACAAAAAGATCTAGGCAAACACTGAAGGGGCAAGAAGGGGCTTCAGCTCACAATCTTTACCCCTATTCTCCAAACAGCCTAATATTTAGAAATCATTTTTCCTCCATGCTCCCCTCTGTGAGAAACACTAGGAATGAACACTGTGAGGAACCAAGAAGAGTACTGTGAGGATAAAGGTATGTAAAGTATGCACTGACTCATGTTGCTTTGAGCTGGATGTGTTTTCTCTACTTCACTGATGAAAAAGAATCACTTACATCTACGGAAAGGCAAAAAGAGAAGAGCAACACACTCTGTACGTGATGGAATGCTACACAACTGCAAAGGTAAAAATGAATTTTCCAAAATCTAAATAAGTGGAACAAGGAAAGAATACTAGAACAAAAGGCAGCTTTTCCTGACTTATAACCACATCAACAGGTCAGTTTAAAGGCCCACATTTTGCTATTTAAAACATTAACTTTCTGTCCAAGCTGTCTTCATCCTTCGTCCCCTCTTTTGGCCCTCTCTCTCTCCCTTCAAGTCCCAAAGAATGATTAAAGCAGATTTAGGTTTCAACAGGGAGGGGTCCAAGGACACTTTCCTAAGCTAACAATGACTGTCTCTAATGGTTTCTGTCTCCTAACAAAAGCCATGACTCCTTCTTTATCAGCTTCATCTAATTTTTCCTTTCCAAAGTAAATAACACAGCCTTTGCATTTTACACATGTCCAAATTTGACAAATCATTATCGACTGAGACTATAGCTGATAAGAGATAACTTTGTGGTAGAACATTGTCATTTCCTCTCATAAGGGCTTTCTTTCTGAGAGACAGAAACATGATTAAAATAGTTAAACATTTCCTCTGCGTGGCAGTCAGGAACTCAAGATACTGGAGTCTCTATTTTTCTAGTTCAAATAGATCTATGAATACACCAACAATCACCATAAACAGTACACTCAAGATAATCCTGCTTTTTTAACTAGTTGTTTTCCTTCTAAGAGATCATATGAAATAATTTCATCACCAAGGACAGCAGCTGTCTAATTCTCTTTATAGTTTCTGAGTGAAGAGCATTGGTGCCTTTCACCAGCTCAAACCTCTGGATTTTCAGAAGGATCAAATAGTAATATTTTAGATTCTACACCTAAGATCTATGCCTCAGAGCATGTTCTATCATACAAATTAAGTAAATGTGTATTTTTAAATTTAAAAAAGTTACTGAATTACAGTATTTAGGAGTATATATCATTCAGGCAAGTACTGCATTCTGCTATAATTTCACATTCACATACTCATTATAGATCTTATAGCCACTAAATACCAATATATATTGTGATCTGCTTCAATATAATGATTGTTGTATCCATATGATAAATGTTACCAGCTTCAGTCAAAGCAAAACTTTCTAATTTTTGTCCATGGAATATTTGTTAAGTAGTATTTATAGTACAAATGCACTAGCTTTCACAGGTAGTTACTACATAGATGACCAAAAGGAGTCTGGAGACAAGAAGATATTAAGTAAGAAAAGCATATTTATAAATAGGATTAATGAGAGAAATCCTACCAAATGATCTTATGAGCCTTTGCAGGCACTACTTACTGAAGAAGATACAAAGATTCAGAGAAGGCACGGGACTATTAGGTGATCAGGAAGAAAAGAAACATGAACATTTCTGGTTGTGAAAATTCTTACAAAAGAATATCAGAATCTAACTTTGATGGTACAGTTTTCTTCTTCCCTAATATGTCTTAGTTCTAGTGAAAGGAAGTCTCTGAAAACAGAAAGATAAATACTTAAGTTCATCTCATATAACACAAAGAAAATGTTTTCAAACATTAAAGTAAAAAAGATTTTAATTTTAAAATAAAACATGTCAGGGGGCTGGGGATTTAGCTCAGCGGCACAGTGCCTGCCTGGCAAGTGCGAGGTCGTGAGTTCGACTCCCGGTACCGGAAAAAAAAAAAACACAAATAAATAAATAAATAAATAAATAAATAAAAAATAAAACGTCACTAAAATTTTTACAGATACATCTATTAAATATTTTTATAACCCTCTTCTCCTCCCAAAAAGGAACAGAGTTAGTAGCTATTTCTACCAACTATCTTTTTTTTCCTACCATCTATCTTAAAAGACTCACTAGAGAAGGCAGGTAAGGGGGCACAGAGGCAAGATGTGACTATCTGCAAGTAACCTGATAAACGTACCTGCTTAAAGCTAAGTAAGTATAACCTGATTCCTTCCACTCAAGGAGAATAGAAAATGTACTATGAGAGATTTACCTATGCTACTGAGAAAGACAATGCATGAAAACAGAAATGCATTAGTGCACTCTAGCCCTGTTGCTCACACATCTGTCCCACTCTCACTCTTCTGCTTTTCCTCTTATACACATAACCCATTCATTTTTCTCTTAAGAAACCTTTCAAAGTAGACAGATCATCCAAAAGGAACATGATAGAGGTTTGCAAGGAATTTAGATATGTTTCTCAGTAATTATCCAAGCCATTCTCCTCCTGGAAAACACTTTTGATTACTACTTTACATAAAAGTTTCCCAAATGTTGGTAAATGAATGCAAGGACTTGGTGCTCATTTTGAGTATTAGTTGAACCTTAAGTCATTAAAATGTACCAGGCATTTTTCTGCAGGGAGCAAACAACAAATGATTAGCTGAAGAAGCATAGCCTTTGCATTCAGAAGATCAGTTGCGACTGCCCATATTATGTCTGGAAGCCAGGAAATACCTGGCAAACATTTTTTCGCCAGAGTGCTTTTCTGAACTACTTTTGCTTCCA